GATAGGGCTGAAAATGTTGCATTTAGTAACATGGAGGAAGCTGCCTATGTTCATCTCTCAGAGCATCTATAAATCTGTTGGTATCAGTCACACAGTGTTAAAGAATCTGACAAATAGGAAATCTGACATTGTATCGTGTACTGAAATATTTTACTGTATCCATAAATATGTTCAATTATTAAGACAATTAAAAATAAAAAAAATTTTAAATATGAAATCTAGGGCTGGGGTTATAGCTTAGTGGAAGTGTGCTTGCCTAGCATGTGTGAGGCACTGGGTTCGATTCTCAGCACCACATACTAATAAATAAAAAAAAGGTCCATCAACAACTAAAAAATATTTTTAAACAATATGAAATCCAACCCCGTTTGACAGGGGTATAGGGCCAAAAAGAGGCCCCAAATCACAAGGCCATAGAAACAGTGCCTGCCAGCCACACTTCTCCCCTATTTTCATGTCCCTCACAAACTCTTCTCCAAAGTGAGTGGCAGAGAGAGGGGTCAGGTCCTTAAATTTTGGTATCACTTCTTATTTAGAAATACATGTGTTTGGATTTGGAATAGCCCCTCAAAGGCCTTGTGTTAAATGACTGGCCCCTAGGCTAGTGTTCCTGGGAAGTGATGGAAACTTTAAGAGGTGAGACCTAGTAGAGGTCTCTAAGTCTTCAGTGGTGTGTCTTCATAAAAGGGATTATGGGACCCAGTCCCTTCTACTTTCTGGTTTTTGCTCCCTGGTCATAAAATGAAAGATTTTTCTCTGCAACACATTTTTTTTTTTTTCCTTCTAGGGTCAAGGATCAAACCTAGGGACTTACATGTGGAAGGCAAGTGCTCTAACAATGAGCTAAATTTTCAACCCTTTTGCTATAATGTGTTGCCTTACCATGTGCCCCAAAGCAATAGGGCAATCAATCATGGACTGGAACCTTTAAAACTGTGATCCAAAATAAAACTTTTCTATCTATAAATTGATTATATCACATATTGTTATAGTAACATAAGGCTGACTAACACACATGCTAACAGGATTTAACCAAGAATTTCACTGACTGGTAAAGGCAACTAGGAAAAATCATACATTTATCTATGTATTTTTTCCATATTTTTATTTGTGCATTATAATTATACATTGTGGTGAGATTCTCTGTCGCATCTTCATATAATAATTTAATTTGGTCAATCTCATCCTCCAGTATTTCCCCTTGCCCTTCCCTCCTGCTGGGCCCTTTCCTCTACTCTATTGGTCTCCCTTTCATTTTCATGAGACATCTCCCTGCCCACTACTTTATTTTCTTTTTTCCTCTCTAGCTTTTAATATGAGAGAAAACATAGGATCCTTGACTTCTGAGTTTGGCTTATTTCTCTTTTTTTTTTAAATTTTTATTTTTTAAGTTGTAGATGGACATAGTTTTAATTATTTATTATTTATATGCAGTGCTGAGAGTCAAACCCAGTGCCTCACACGTGGTAGGCAACTGCTCTATCACTGAGCCACAACCCCAGCTCTGGCTTATTTCTCTTAACACAGTATTCTCAAGTTCCAGCCACTTTCCTACAAATGACATAATTTCATTCTTCTTTATGACTGAATAAACTCCATTTTGTGTGTGTGTGTGTGTGTGTGTGTGAGAGAGAGAGAGAGAGAGAGAGAGWGTGTGTGTGTGTGTGTGTGTGTGAGATTTTCTTTATCCATTCATCCACTGACAGACACCTAAGCTGGTTTCACAGTTTGGCTATTGTGAATTGTGCTGCCATACACATGAGTAGGCATGCATCACTATAATATGATGACTTTAATTCTTTAGGATAAAATAAAGGAGTGGTATAGCTGGATCATATGATGGTTTCTACTCTTTTGAGGAACCTCCATACTGATTTGCACAGTGATTATACTAATTTGCYGGCCAATAGTGTAAAAGTGTTTCTTTTTCTCCATATTCTCTCCAGCATTTATTATTGTTTATATTCTTGATGACTGCCATTCTGATTGGTATGAGATAAAATCTTAAGTAGAGTTTTGATTTGTATTTTTTGGCTTAGAATTGCTTTGGCTATTCTGGGTCTTTAATTCTTCCAAATGAATTTTAGGACTGGTTTTTATAGTTCTGTGGTATTCTGCTGAGGATTCTGCTGAATCTATATATCGCTTTTGGTAATATGCCATTGTAACAATATTAATTCTGCCTCCTAATGAACATGGGAGGTTTTCCCATCTTCCAGTGTCTTCTTTAATTTCTTTCTTCACTGTTCTGTAGTTTTCATAGTAGAGGTCTTTCACCTCCTTGGTTAGATTCCTAGGTAKTTTATTTTTTGGAGGCTACTCTATTATATGGGATTGTTTTCCTGTTTTGCTTTTCAGCAGGTTCATCGTTGGTGTATGGGAAAGCCACTGATTTTTGTATGTTGATTTTGAAACTTGTTACTTTGCGGARTTTGTTAATTAGCTCTATAAGTCTTCTGGTGGGGCTTTCAGGAGTCAACACATGACCTGCAGTGAGACTAACCTGGTATGCAACTAGCCATGTACCAGATCTTGCCTAACTCCACAACTCCACACACCTTGGTTACTGCCTTCTATATGTAGTCCTCTGACTCTACTCTTTACCTAGAATGTTTCTGACCTATTGTTTCTGACCACTCAAATCCCACCACTCCTTCGAAATATGACTTTTCCAGAAAATTACAATCACTACTCCTGTTCCTGCTATCTGATCACATATGCTCCTCTATTTATCATTTTCTTCTATAGATTTTTGCATTTTACCTCTTCCTATTTCAAGCCTAAATATTTCATTTATATCTTCTCACCAACAGTACTTGAAACATCTTGTGGGTAGGAATGTAGTATAGCTAAAGCTATACCATCCCCACAATATTACATACTTGTAGTAGGCTCATAATAAATATTCACCAAGATGCAGTCTCCTTTTTTTCCTTAGGCCGAGGAGGCTTAATGTGGGAAGAGGTACACTGGAGAAAGCTAAGGCTTTTGGAGTTTTTACCTATCTTCCTGTACGCTCCCTGCTTTATTACAGGAATGCCTATATATACTACTTCACAATTACCAGGATGGCTAAAATAAAAAAGGATAGTAACAAGTGTAGGTAAGAGTGGGGACAAATTGGAAATATTACACATTCTGATGAATGTGAAATAGAGTGGCCACTTTAGAAAACAATTTGAAAGTTCCTCAGAAAGGTAAAACACAGAGTCACCATATGATAAATACCTCAAGATAAATACCTAAAAGAATTCAAAATAGGTCACACAAAAACTGGCAGGCAATGTTCATGGCAGCATTATTTATAGTAATCAAAAAATGAAAACTCAAATGTCCACCAATGAATGAATTGATAAACAAAATGTATTAGATGCTTACAATGAATGTTATATGGCTAGAAATGAACTACTAATACATAGTACAACAGGGGAACCTTCAAAACATGCTAAGTGAAAGAAATCARATATAAGTAGTGACATATTATATGATTCTATGTAGATGAAATGTCCAGAAGATAAAAATATAGAGACACAGAAAGTAGATAGTGGTGGGCAGGGGCTAATGCAAGGGAAGGGAATGAGGAATGGTTATTATTGGATATAGAATTTCTTTGGAGGATGATGCAATATTCTAGAATTACATAATGATAAGTTTRTACAGTCTTATAGTAAAAAATGATAAATTGTGTATTTTAAAAGGTGAATTTTATGGCATGTGAATATTTACTATGAGCCTACTACAATTACAATCACATCTCTAATTGTTAAAAAGAAAAAGAAAGAAAAAAAAGACAGACAGACAGGCTAGTATGCTACAATGATCTTCAAGTTTTCAAATATACAAAAACCACCTGGGTTGCTTATTAAGATATGAATTCCTGGGACTCCCTGGCATCACCACCAAAGTTCTAACCTAATTCAGGGTGAAACCTAGCTGTCTATATTTAACACAGGATGGGACACTGATGCAATTTATTAKCTATGAAGCATGTTTCTTGAAACACAAGTATAATGAAAAGAAATTGTAATTTAGAATCAGAAGAGCTGGGTTCAAATTCTGGTATTACTTCTTCCTAATCATACAATTCTAAGCAAATCACATAACATTTCTGCTATTTGGTTTCTTCAACTCTAAAATGTAATAAAAAATGTCTCCCTCTAYAGAGACAGTACATATAAACTGTAATAGAATACATGGCACACAGTTGGCATTCAATAAATGCTAAGTTGAAACCTAATTGGGTGCCAATTCCATTTAACAAACATTATCAAGTGACTATAATATGAAAGGCAGAATGCAAGCTGATGATAATGAGTAGGACCAAATTTTAAAATAAYGGATTTCGTAAAACATGAAATAGACTTCTTTTCATAACTTTATTTATTTTCTTTTGTATGTGGTGCTGAGGATTGAACCCAGTGCCTCACACATTGTAGGCAAGCACTGTACCACTGAGCCACAATCCCTGCCCTGAAATTGTCTTTTGAAACCAAGTATCATTGTTAACAAACTATTTTAATTAATATATTACTTTTCATGACCCTGGAAAAATGAATTTGGGAGTATAGCAAAAAACAAACAAATAAACAACAACAACAACAATAAAAAATACCACAGGTCAGGCATTTGATAATTATAAAGAATTTCTGAAGGTTACTCATAAAATTGATACTTGTGGGGCTGGGGATGTGGCTCAAGCAGTAGTGCGCTCACCTGGCATGCATGGGGCGCTAGGCTCGATCCTCAACACCCCATAAAAATAAAATAAAGATGTTGTGTTCATTGAAAACTAAAAAATAAATATTAAAAAAAATTCTCTCTCTCTCTTTAAAAAAAAAATTGATACTTATACTGTAGTTTTTCCTTTGTATTTTCTCTTTCTAAGTAGAACATAAGCTTAGAATTAGGGACCATGCCTTAAACTTCTTTTACATCCCCTAAGTATCTATTCCAGATAAAAAATATTTATTAAGAACACAATGAACAGTGTGGTCTCTTACCTTTAGGTCACGATGGATAATAGGCGTTTTGCATTGATGCAGGCGGGCAACAGCTTCACAGGTATCACAGAATATCTGCAGCACTTCATTCTCTGTAAAGCCTGTTTGCAGGCGCTGGTTCATCAGGTTTACCACCTGGCCTCCTGACAGGGGTACAAAGAAGAGGTTATAATCTTAGTCAAACTGGTCATGTAGACCAGAAGGATGAATGGCTATCCAAAGAGGAGCAACCTGAACTAAAGTTACTGAACTAATCACCAGTCAAGTCAGACTAAATCCCAGGTGTCTAGACTCTTGATTTGGAATTTGTTTTCTTACAATCCAGTGCCTCTTCTAATACATCAAAATCACTTTCTTTATTTCACAAAGYACTTCAGATGTGAGTTGCCCTTATTATGTCTTCAAGATTAGTAAAAGAACTGACAATATTGCCTTGCTATAGTTCCCTGGTTTTACTATGCCCGTTGGGTATGAGATAAGGCCACAGCCTCAACTTGTCCTCTTTTAGTAAGAATCAGATGGCACAACAGACTCAGGTAGCAGGAGGAATACAGTGTTAGTTTGCACTTTAGGAAAAGCTTGGTCTCTTTGGTTTCACTACTTAACTGTCTGGCCTGTGCAAATGCTACGCCAACCTTCATCTCTAAGATCAAAAGACTGATGACCTCTCTCACAGAATTATCCAGATCCCTGAATGTTCCTATATTGCCTGGTCTATAATTGGGCGGAAATAAATTGTCAATTTGGTAGTATTTTACAAAATCATGTTAATAGCTCATATAATGAAGGCTGAAATTACTGGATCTCATTTTTGAGATGAGCAACATATTTAATTTATATTAAATTATATATTTATTATATATGAGCAACATATTTAATAGGCAGTATTGTTAATGGCAGAAAAATGTTAGTGGAACTAAGGGCAATTACAAAAGAGGGCACAATAAGACAATGATCCAAGCTTGTAGGTGCCAGGTGCTTAGCTAAAAAGAGCCAAACCTCTAAACAATAGTTGTATGGAACACAGTCWACTCTGAATACTCATTTATTAGTCTGGATTCTCAAGATAAATGTTGGAAACTTCAAGCTTCCAACTATTTAAACTCCACAGTTAACAGCAACATCATGTGAATGTAGCCTTACTAGGAATTATAGCTYGAGTGAGGAGAAAGTTATTTCCATTGGACAGAAAGGATTCTTTTACCCCATTACACAAGGATGGTGGTGTGAGTGGGGGAAAAAACACACAAGTGCGGGGGCAGGGAAGCTGGCTGCTTCTTTATTCCATCTGGAGTTAGGCCTTTATTATGTGCCTTCATGACTGGTTTTAAAGCATCACAAAGGACACATTCATTCTCATTCTCATGTGTTCTCATTTATATACATGACCAAACCTTCCCAAACCTAACAAAAATGGGGATCTGTATTATTTATCACTGTCAATTATTTGTACCACTGCTCTTGCAATCATAATCAAGGTTGACAGCAGATTCTATATCTTTACATCTTCTTAGTTTTCCTATCTGTAAAATTAAAATGACATACTTCAGGGTAGGTACAATGCACATTAAATGAAAGAATCCTTATGAATTCTCATGCCCTTGACAATCAAAATGCTAGAGAAATGAGAGATTAAGGGTATGGTTCATATACATACCTCTACAAAAGTCCATCAGAATGAGAACTTCCCATACATCGCCGCTACTCACATTGTTGATACTAGAATCAATGTAACCCACAATGTTCTTGTGCCCTGACAAGTCCCTCTGTGAACAAGAGTTGAGAAATATATTGTCAGTTACAGACACTAATAGGGACAGAATTAACTAGAAACTTCCATTATTAGCATAGATAACTTCAATACACAGAGACAAAACTGATAGTTTTGAGAGGTAAGAGTAAGAAGCTGAGCCAGGAACAGGTTTCCAGGGGTCCTGAGAGCACAGCCTGGATTCCAATGGCAACTCATGTCCCTAATGAATCAAATCACTCTCCAGAATCTAAATTCTAAAGTCAATGCACACAGAACACCTACTTGCTCACCACACCAGTGCCCTATATAAACCAGAAGCAAAGAACTCCCTCACTCCAGAAATACTGCCTAGGAGGACAGAGACAGTATGAACTATTTACATGTATAAATKTACATGTATAAATTACAGGAAAAAAATGGAGGTTTCTTTACCCTGGTTGTGGAGGCAAAAATGATTTCAACTTGACTTTAAAATGATTCATATTGCTTCTCCCTTTTGAAAATACATGAAAAGAATAATTGCTTTACAAAGTTTTGAAGGGACTACAATAGTATCCAGATCTAAGCATTTTGCTCATAATTAAGCCTTTCAAGCTAATCAACTGGGATATAAGATAGGGAATCCGTCAAAACTGCATGTGATCTCTCACGCTGCTTGGGGAATTCATTCATCCAACAAATATTTACTGAGCATTTCCTATGTGTCAGGAACCATTTAGGCATTACAAGTTGCCTAACACCTGGGTAAAGTCATTTTAACATCCACAGAGGCAGATCTTGAAATTGAAATCCAAGGTCATTAAGATACTCTGCTGGAGAAAGAAATTGAGCAAGTTGTGTAATATGATTCTTAGGCAAATATAAGGTAAAAAAAATAGTTTTAATAAATTGTTTTACTTTTGTTTTTGAAAACTTAGGGGAAGGAAATGGAAACTATGTGGTTCTATGAAAGCCTCCATACAAACTTGGCAGTTTGGACCATAAGAACAGAAATTACTACTACCCTAACAGAGATTTAGCTTTTTTAAAGTCTTGTAATCTGAAATTACATACAAAAACAAGAGGAAACCTGACAGTACCAAATGAGTGTGCTCGAGCTCCAAAACTCATCAGACCTTTCCTCTGACTAGACAGAATGAATGGACTCCCCAAAAGGTAGAGAGAGGTAGAAAGTGACCACAGGAAAACTCTGAAGACTTCTGTGAGAATAGGTTCAGAGAAGGGATGGGATAGAGGTGAGAATGGACCTGGACTTGCAAAGAATTGGAGTTGAGCAAGTAGCACCTGTGACTACAGGTAATTGTTTTAGAACATTATGCTTAAGAAAGTAGCAATGATGGGGGAGCCCAACATGGCCGCCGGCGAAGAGGCAGCACATTCAATGCGTCCGTGGTAA